GGGGGAAGAAGGAAAGAAAGTGTGTGTGTGTGTGTGTGTGTGTGTGTGTGTGTGTGTGTGTGTGAGAGAGAGAGAGAGAGAGAGAGAGACAGAGAGCACAGGCGCACGCGTGTGCTGGGGTGGGAAGTAAATCCGGAGAGGTATGCAGTCCTCTGGTCGGTAACTTTCAAAATGACAGCAGGACTGGGGCAAAGGTCATGGGGTCCAAGGCCTTAAGCACCTCAGCCAGCTGTGGTGGTACAGCCTGGAGCCCGCAGGATGCCTGCCCGTATAAATCAGTGGTAAGCAGCACCCGCTGGGGGCGAGGACAATGGGCCCACGCGGGGGTGGGAGGCAGGACAATGGGGCCCGGCCAGTGCGCAGGCCCGGAACAAATGTGCCCTGGCACCATGGAGGCCCCCATTTGTGAAACTAATTGGACTACGATTGAAAAATTGGACCAACTTCAACAGCCCTGGAAGGAGAGGCTCCACGGCAGTTGCCTAACTCAGCCCAGCCCTGGGGGAATCCGAACAGAAGCTTCTCCTAGGTACTGCCCATCTTGGCAGAGGGAGAGGCACCTTTGAGATAAGACCAGTCTAGAAGAAGATGGCTGGGGGATGGGGCAGGTGGGCATTGTGCCGCCTTAAGGGACCCACTTCCCTCAAGATGCAGAGAAGAACCGTCTTCCTCAGTTTCTCTACACTGCTTGTTCTGTAGGAATCAAGTTCAGAAAAGAGAAAGGCACTTGTCTACCCTCTGGGTTCCCAAAGCCAAAGGGCTCCCTGCGTCCCTCATTTTGGGGTAGATGCACAGCAAATACACACAAAGCTACAACGAGCCCGTTCCTCAGTCTAGCCTCCCTGGCATATATTCAGCCCTGCGCGCTCTCCCTGGGAGGCCTACAGCGCTCTGCAAGGCTGCATGAGGGCTAAACTGTAAGAAGCTGGAGTTCCTCAATCTCTAACTCATCTGGTCCTGCAGGCTTCTGGGGAAAAGAACCCCTGAAGTGTATGGTGGGAAGTCAGGATGGAGCGGGAAAGTACAGGCCAGGGTAATCATCCTGCAGTTATCCTCCTGCCCTACCCTTTCCTGTGACCTTTCTCTTAGACTTCCAGCTGAAGAGGGGCGGCAGAGTGGCAAGCACTGGAGTCTTCAGCCATCAGGCCTGTCTTCAAGTCCTGGCTCAGTCACTAACTTGCTGTACACTCTTGGGTAGGTTACTGAACTTCTTTGAGCCCTAGTTTCCTCATTGGATAAATGAAGGTGGATGTAAATGATTCTTAAAGAGTTCCCCCAATGCTGGCAGTCAGTGGTTCTAAGGCTATTGAAGAGGGATCTGTAAAATTGGAAGGTCCTTCATCCCGATGAGATGTATTTCAGGCATTTCTCTTATAAAGTCTGCCTCAACAGCCTTCTTTCAGTTAAAGAGAATCTTGAGGCTTCGGTAGGAACCACTGTCTTAGGCTCCCAGAGGGAGAGTCACAGGCAAGACAAAGAAAAGATCTAACCCTGACTGAGAATTTGCTAGGGGCCAATCTGGGTCTATCACTCTGAACCTTTCTCAGACAGCATTGTGAGACAGAGATTTTTAGGAAGGTGGGGAAAGAAAGACTTGAGAGAACCTGCTAGGTCCTTTCAAAGGACCACCAATTACCTGCTAGTACTTCTAAGAACTGACAATATACCCAGAAGGGCAATTCTTGGGTCTCTGGGTCTGAGGGTACTTGCAAACCTGTCTGTGCTTGGGGACAGCCCGACTGATGGGGTGGGGGTCAGGAGCAGAGGCTTTCTCTCCCATGGCCCCTGCACTGGGGTGACAGAAAAGACACCAATGAATGTGGCACAGAGGGTGAACAGAGAACCAGGCCTCTGAATCCAGTGGTCTCAGTTCCTTAGCACGGCACCCAACGTGTAGTAGGCACTTACATTCTGAGCAGTGTGTCCAGAGCTTCATGGGAGGGCACAGAGGTTCCCCCCTGGAGACCCAATTTCCTTATTTGTACAATAAGTTTCGACAAGGTCTTTCATCTCTTTCATTGTGCACAAGGCATTTTCTAGAGAGACTCACTCTCTTCAGTTCCAGGGATCTCCAAAGTCATCCTGGGGCCCCAGGGGAAGAGCTGGGTCTTTTGGAAAACACTTAAAAAACAATGAAGCTGGGGTCTTATTTAACATTTCCTGTAAGCCCCAATGTATTCCAGAGACCCTGAGGTAAAGGCAAGAGGAAGCCACATAGAGGAGAAAAGGGAGATGAAGAGAGACAGACAGAGGCAAGACAAAGATCGGGAGAGACAGAAAGGGGTGGGGAGGTAGGTGGGGGTTGGGGGACACAGAAATTAAAAATAAATGAAATACTTATCGTGTCAGAGCCATTTAAAGATCTGACAAACACCGGGCAATGAAAAGAAAACCTACCCCATACAAATAAACAAAACCAAACCAAAAAAAACAAAAGACAGGACGTATTCATTTTACTGACATTTTAATGGTTCCTCTCCTTCCCCCCCCCACCAGAAGATGATTACAAATTAAGCAGCATTTAAATGCTTTTTACTGTCAACAATTAAAAGCAGGGCTGTGAGCCTGAGAGTGTGGTGGCCATTCATTCCCTCGGTAACCAGGCTATCAGAGGGACCACCAGGCCTTCCCATACTGTACTATACACAATGGCCAACCAGGGAAAAGTGGAGACACCTTCATTCTGCAGGACATTCAGAAGCAAATTAAAATATAAAAAGCTCCTGCACAAAGGTAGATACCAAGAGTGAGGTCAAGCTCCTGGAGTTCAAGTCTTACCAACAGCAGGGTTTATGCACAGCCTGACTACACCTGTTTATGGAGGGGCTGTGNAATGACAGCTCTGATGGCCGTTCCAGAAAAAGAGTTCCAAAATTGCTTTGAAGGGTGGACTAGGCACTGTCATTGGTGCATAGCTTCCCAAAGGGAGTACTTTGAAGGTGACTATAGTGATATTCAGCAATGAGGTATGTAGCACTTTTTCTAGGATGAGTTTGCAAACTTAATCATCTGACCTTGTATAGTCAGTGAGGACCCAATTTTGTCTTAGAGAAAGGGAATAATTTAAGTCACCCATTCCCTTGCTAGGGGATCAGGGGCTGCTGCAAGGAAGCAAATGCCTCTTGGCCTTTACAGACTAAGTGTTCCATCCCCAAAACCTACAGGGTGGTGGCACCCGGCACCGTGACTCATCCTCTTCTCCCCCATCTTCTGGAACTGGCTAAGCAGGGTATTTCATGGCTTGTTTACTACCCTAAACGAGGTTAAGTTCCAAATATAGAAAATGTGCTTCTATAATGTGGAGAAATTAGGACCACTTCTGCAACATTTCTTCAAGAGCCTGAGGCTGACTTCATGAGTGTGCATCCATGGGGTGGCGACCAGGGAGAGTGAAAAGGGCATGTGACAGAGACAGAGACAAAACAAGTAGGTTGTTCTTAAAATGAGTTTTGGGTCCACCTGCCTCAGAATTTTTATTAATAATGTTGAGTCTTGCATCCCACCCCATACCCACTAAATCAAAGTTTTTGTGGGTAGGACCCAAGATGGCATTTCTAATGAGTACCCTTTCTGTTGAGCACAGAGAGATGGAGAACATGAGGTCCATGAGGTTGGATTGGGAAAACGATCAACACCGACCTGCACTACGGAAGCCCCCTCCCACCCATGCCCAGCCCTTGAGCAAATAAGGTCAACTCTGCCAGGCACCTCCACTTTGTTATTAGACGTAAATTCAGACACTGGTTCCCAGAGACCCTGATCCACCCATCATCACCTGGACTGACTTACCTGTGTGTGAGCGCAGGTGGCGTTTGAGAGCGGTGTGGCTGGGGAAGGTGCGGTTGCACTCACTGCAGATGTAGCTGCGCACGCCCGCGTGGACCTCCATGTGCTGCTGGAGCGCACTCTGNCAAAACTAGTCAGGGAGTTGGGGGAAGGACACACCATCTGCCCCATCCTGGGCTTCAACTGTGGGCACCGGTCCACCAACACCCACCCATGTCTACCCTGCCAGTAGCATTCCACGCTGGACCACAGGTAGGACCCAGGTGGTCTTAATTTCACTCTGCTCAGAGGAAAGGCTTTCATTCCAGCGTGGACCAAAAAAACAAATTTAATTTTTCAGAAATTGACTCTCTTTTTTCACTCTCCACACTGTCACTACCAATTCAGGCCTAACCCCTGCCCGCCCAGCCCGATACCCCCAATTCATCTTTCTGAAAGGCTAAAATCTGGTCTTTGTCCCAGTACATTTTATTGCTAAAACTCTCTTTTAGTCAGCTCAGTTTGGATTTCTAAGACTCCAAATCATCACAGGTATCTTTTAGAATAATGAAATCTCACCCCCAAGATAGAGGGGAGAAAAGAAAAGTATGAAATAGGAAAGGCGTGGAGCTGGGTGCATATGAGATGTAGCTACCAATTTCCTTTTCAGTTCTTCATAGAGGAAGATGGAAAGCAACAGAAGTGAGCTGGCTACCAGGTGGGGGGAAAGGGGGTGGTGGGTGGCGAGCGGCTAGATTTAGAAGCAGCCGGGTACATTTCTGTATGGTAAAGTTTAATATGCAGGAGGGACACAGAGAAATAAAAGAGACACGTCCCCTTTAAAAGGAAATATAATTTACAGTGTGCAGCCAGGCGGCCCATAGTTTCAATCTCGTTTACTATAGAGAAAACTCTGCTAGCTGTTCTCTATCCCACAAATCCGATTTAATCAGACAAGCCAGCCAGCGTGGCTTGGAGTAAAAACGGATAATTAGTAAACAGAGAGCTACTCCAGTGCTTCATTGGCATTCGAGTTGGGCTACTGTGTCGCATTTAAAATGCAGTCTGATGAAGTTTACAAAATCAAACCATTTGTTACTCCTATTGAAGAGGCTTCAGGCCACTTGCAATTAAATTGGAATTAGTGCTCAGAATGAGACACAGCAAATTCATACTAAAAAGGGATCTGACTTTGAGACATTCGACTTCACTTCAACAGTTTTCTGTGTGAGTGTGTGGGTGGGTGTTACTAAAAGCCTCCTCGCTCACCCTGACTCTGCAGGGCTCCCTGACTGGGTGAGCTTGTCCCCCCACAACCTGTGACTCTCTGGGCTGGCTGTGGGGGATGAGGCCTTCGGGGAGGAGAGGGACAGCTGACTGTGGAGAGCCAGGCCCCGTCTTCACACCAGGAAGATACTGTACTAGGGAGAATGTGTCCACAAAGGACCATATGGCCTCCTTCTGCATTGAGCCTTTGGACAAGCGGGTAGAAAGGGGGCGGGGAAGCTGCCAGAAGGCACACTTCCAGGGGGCACTGGCCCCGCCCACCTCAGGCAGCAGCCTGGCAGCTTGGGAAGAATGGGGCACCTTTTCCCTGTTGGCTGGGTTCCTGGGATGCTCGGGCCTTCTCTCACTCAAGGGCCCGTGCACAGGGAGGGTTTCCGTCACCATGTCCTACTCATCAGCACACTCCTCGTCCTCTGTCTGCACCGCCTTTCGAGGCAGAAAAGCTGGGGCAAGTGCTGTCTTGCAGGACTTCTTAACCATAAAACCTGCAAGTGGTCCAGGGATAGAATTTAGGACGTGGGTGAACTTGAAGGGGAAAATCACGTCTTTACTTTTACCAACTTCTAACTGAAAGTTAGCCGTTCCTTCAACAAGGAATGAAAGCAGCAAACCAGTTGTATTAGCTGTGTACGTGTGACTTGTTTGTCAATAGATATTTTTATACCACATTGGACATGTTGCAATTATCTCGAAATATTTATGTAAACCATAGATATTCAACCACTGCTGGAGCTTGTTAACAGGATAACAAAGAATCACACATCTACTATATTACAAATGGTTTTTAAAAAATATTTTCATATCTGTATTTAAGCTTTCCATTTATAATCATATGTATTTTACTGTATACATTTAGAGACGTTATTCTGAGGAAGGGTTCACAGGTTTCATCAGACTCCTTACTGGGCAGATGACACAAAATGTTTAGAACTCCTGGTCTAGAGAGAGGGCTTGGGGAGGCAGGAGGGGGCGTTATCGATTAATGGGTACAGTTTGGGAAGATGAAAAAGTTCTGTGGATGGATGGTGGTGACAGTCGCACAATGATGTGACTGTACTTAATGCCACGGTACTGTATTCTTAAAAATGGTTAAAATGGTAAATGCTATGTTTTATATACATTTAACCAAAATTAAAAAAAGAATCCTTAGTCTGGGCTGGTCAAAAGTTACTTATACCTCTACAACCTCTCTGCTGCCCAGAAGTATCTATACACTAAATTCCAGTTTCATTCCGTCTCAACTTTTCCATCTGCAGTGAAGAACAGAACTGAAGGCTCAGGCCCCCAGGCAGCAGGGAGCTGTTCTGCATGGGTCCTTAAAAAATACACTGCAGGCGGTCCAGGCTCACTTCTCAGATCTGACACCAACTAACAGTGGTCGAGTCGCAGGAAGTTCAAAGTTTATGGTCTCCCTCTCCCCGGCAGAATGAAAGCTGCCTGAGAGCAGGGACTTCATTTCTCTTATATGCCGCTGTATTGCATGGATGGACCTAACAGGTGTTTGAGGAGTATTTACTGGATAGAGGGAAGGGCGAATGGGCAGAAGAAGGATTAAACAAATGCATTTTCTTTCTCTGGACCTCAGTCTCACCTGTGATATAGAGGAGAGGCTCTGTGACCCGTTAAAGCTCCCAGAGTCCCCAGGGGCTCCATCTGCTCACCACGCTTTCTGCCTACTGCCCACACCTTTCCCCGCAGTGTGCAGCCCTCAATAGACAGTGGATGGTGTGCACACACAGGTGAGGGACTATGTCTGATGTGGAATACTGAGGGTGATGGACCATGGTCCTCAGGCCCCAGGACTTTCCTGTGGACCTCAGGGACGGTCCTGCACAGGCGCACTAGGCCTCATGCATGTCCTGCCACCCAGAGAGGATATGCACTGGTGGTGATGGTGGTGAGGTGAAGAACAGTGAATCCAAAGCCACAGAGACCTGAGGAAGAGGCTTTTATGTAGTGCCAGGTGGCATGCAATGGCTTTTAAAACCTGGAAGGAGGAGATTGTCCTTTTTGCTATTCGGGGATGGTGGAGAGGAACCTGATGATGGTCAAGGAAAAAACAAAACAAAACACTTTGTCTATCGGCCTTTCCCACTTCTCCCAAATCTGAAAGGACACTCCTCCCAAGCAGACTGTGTTCTTGGCTCACTAAATCTATCCCAGGGAAAAAAGACAGCATCCGACAGGTACATGCCTGGACCTCAAGGCCATATCAGGTGGTGTGCATGCTCCTCAGAAAACTGATGGGCAACCTGGTCCTTCCCTCCCACACCCTCCCACGCACACATGCAGTCACATGCACACACACGCGCGCGCACACACACACACACACACACACACACACACACACACTCCCCTTAACATTCTGAAGGAAGGTCTGAAGAGAAACCCCAGCCTCCGTTCTAAAAAGGAAATGCAAAGCTAAACGTCACTTAGTGGTCTGGGGTTCTTCTTTCCTCCCTGTGGGTTTGGTTTCCTAGGTACCTCCCCTTTCAGTTCCTCTTCTGGAGTTTCTAGGTTATTTCCTGACAGGACTAGAGCCCGAGGCTGGCCCCAGAGCAGATGGGAAACATTATGGCTGACTTTCTCATGCCACAGCCAGGTGTCTAGCACCCTGGCCATAAACAGTAGCCAGAAGAATCACCTCTGTTCTCTCTATCCCAGACTAGCGTTGCTTGACTGCCAAATCTTCCTATCCTGTTCTCCCCCTTCCAATCATCTTCATTCCTCTTTCTGGGTGGTAGTACTTTCACTTCCCTTGGAAGACAGTATTGGAAAGGTGCTTTTAGCGCCACTCACTCACTTATTCACTCATGCACCTAGCATTTCTCGAATTCCAATTCTGGGCTAGCATCAAATACCAAAGCTACAATGCTAAGAAGATACTTGTTACCCAAGAAGCTTACAGTCTAAGAAGTGTAGAGCAAAAAGCTGGGCCTTTCAAGTCAGACGAAACCTGGGTTCAAATCCTGGCTCTGCTATTAATTGGCTAGCTATATAAGCAGATGCGTATTTCCTAATATATGTGCTTGGTTTCTTCAATTGTATTAGAGTCATAATGCCCACCATGCAACATTGCTGAGAGGATTAGAGATAATATATGAAAAGTGTCTACCACAGTGCTAGATGGTAGGGAATCGAGCAATGGCCGCCATTTACAACACTGATCCAGTGGACTGGGTTAGGGCTGTGGGGAGACAGGTATGTAAATAAGTGGACTGTGGTGTTTTAACTTAGGTACCATGAACTAAGTAGCCCCACTTCAGGGGGTGCTTATAGAGAACATGCCCAGCCTTTCACCACCAAAAAGAGCAATTCCTCTATAGTGCTAAATTTAAACCTTTCCACCCCTCAAATTCTTCCATCCAGTCACTCTCACAGAACCATTCTTTGATTTCCAAACATCCCTAGCATGCCCTTCCTTTTCTTAATTCTTTCTCCAGTCAGTCCATATTTCCAGGCCCATGGTTCAACTACCTACCAGCTGCCTCCTTGCGGATTCCTGAACCTTCATGCCCATTATCCTTCCATTGCACCCACCCTGCCAAACCCTGACCTTGGCTCAGTCTAACTCCTCCTCTTCTCCATTCCTAGAGCTGCCCACACATGCAGCCTCCACTTTCCAAGTGCTCATCAACTCCTCAGCACATCATGAGCTCATTCCTGACTCTATCATTCCACTAAGACCAAACTGTTTGCCTCTGATAACCAATGACGCCCATGTCACTAAATCTAAGGGACATTTTCTAGTCTTCCCCTTAGGGGACTTTGCAACAACATTAAGACTGATGACTGTTTTTTCCATTTTGAAACCTCCTCCTTTAGCTTTCATGATACCACACCACACTCTGGTCTCCCTCTTATTTCTACCAGCGACTCCCCCTCAATCTCCATTGTGGGTTGTGATTGTTCTGGAGGAGCATAATGTGTTGGAATTCCTCTGGATTCTGTTCTAAGCTCTCTCCTCTTTCTATACCTTCTTATTTTTTCATAAACTCACCCATTTCCAGAGCTTCAAGAATCATTTGGACGCTGATGACTGCAAAATATACACGTCCAGTGAGCTCTGAATTCCAGACATAACTGTATATCCAACTGCCTCCTGGATGGTTACTCACTGGATGTCAAACACGCCTCATTATCGTAATATCAAAACTGTTGGGCCGGTCGAGTGGCACGTTGGTTAAGATCTGGCTTGGGATGGCAGTTCTGAGCAGCAGGGCCCCATTCGGATCCCACATGAGGGCCAGTGACGCTGCGCTCTCTACAACTAAGATGGTGAACAACAGCTCGACCAGGAGCTGGGCTGCTGTGAGTCGCCGGCAACAGCGTAGGTTGCAGTGGGGCTGCAGTGGACTGCCATAAGCTACTGTGCAGGGCTGGCAGCCAGCGTGAGCGGCTGGCAGCTGCCTTGAGTGGCTGTCCAGTGGCCGGCGAGAGACTGCATCACCCGGGAAGAGCGCAATGATCATAATACCAACATGGGCCAGTGAAGTGATGTCCTCCACAACTAGACTGAAGAAAAGAAGGACAGCTACTTGTCTGTTCCCCTTCCCCAATTCCCCAGCACTGTTCCCCTCTCCCAATTCCCCAATAAAATCTTTTTTAAAAAACAAACAAACAGGGCCGGCCGAGTGGCGCGATGGTTAAGAACTCGCTTGGGATGCCAGAGGGCCCCGGTTTGGATCCCACATATGAGGGCCAGTGACACTGCCCTCCACAGCTAAGATGCTGAACGACAGCTCAACCTGGAGCTGGGCTGCTGTGAGTCGCCGGCAACAGCGTAGGTTGCAGTGGGGCTGCAGTGGACTGCCATAAGCTACTGTGCAGGGCTGGCAGCCAGCGTGAGCGGCTGGCAGCTGCAGTGAGCGGCCGTCCAGAAGCCGGTGACTGATCTGCCTCGCCAGAGAAGAGCGCAATGATGGTGCCAACTTGGGCCAGTGAAGCAACGTCCTCCACAACTAGATTGAAGAACAAAACGACAGCAACTTGTCTGTTCCCCTTCCCCCAATTCCCCAGCACTGTTCCCATCCCCCCAATTCCCCAATAAAAATCTTTAAAAAAATAAATAAATAAAAATAAAAAACAAACAAACAAAAAAAACTGTTCATTATCTTAACAGCAGGGACAACAAAACTCTGTTTCTCCTCTTGTGCTCCCCACTTCAGTAAAGAGCTCGACCGTCACCCAATTGCTCAAGCATGTAAAGGGGCCATCATCCTTGATTCCTTTCTCTCACCTCTCACAAACGATCCATCATCAAATTCTTCAGCCTCCTGAATATCCTGATTTTTTTCTACTTTTTATCCATCCCCATTGCAACTACAATGGTTCAAGCTACCATAATTTCTGATCTAAATTATGGCAATATTGTCCTAATTAACCTCTCTGCTTTCAGTTTAAATCCTTTCAGCCTATTCACAACCACATAGTCAAAGTCATTTTTCTAAAACATAATCTGATGTTACTCCCCTAAGACTTTTAATGGCTCCCTTTTGCCTTCAAGAAAAGGCGGAACTACTTAAAGTAGTTTTCAGGGGCCTTTCACAGTAATGCCATTTACCTCTCCAATCTCAGGTCCCGGCCCCCTTCCCCACTCCCATTTTCAGTGCCATGAACTTGCCTTATTCTCTCCCAACTTGAGACATTTACCCAAGCATTCTTCTTTTTCTCCCCCATGACCCCACCTTCTTTACTTAGTAAGTTTTTCTCATCCTTCAGTTAGATTGCACCACCTCTGTGAGGCTTTCACAATTCTCCATCCAAGACGGAGGCCTTCATGTGTGCTCTTATAACATCTTACGCCTCCAACATAACAATATTTACCCTATATATGACTTCCTTTCTTACTTATGTGTCTCCCTATAAGGCACAAACCCCATGAGGACAGGAGTTCTGTTTTGCTCACCACTGTATTCCCACAGCCTAATAAACGACTACGGTACGACAGGAACAAAATGGATGTTCGCTAAGTATTTACCGAATGGATAAACAAATAAACGAGTATGTAAAATTTTTAACCTATTAATACCTCTGTGGCAAGTCATGATTTCTAGAGCCCAAGACATTAATATTTGACTCTTATCAACTCCAACTATACATACCTCTTTACCCTCTCTAGCCACCATGCCACCAGCCCAGATTCGCTGTGCGCCGCAGGCTTCTGAGCTACTATATGTTCCTGTATCTTTAACACATATGACTGTGCACTAGTATCCACATGCCTTAGAACCAGGGCATGGTCTCTCCTGGGCTTGGTTTCTCCTCCCAACCCAGAAGGACTCATTCATGTGGTACCCAGTGCAATTCAAATGGACGTCTATTCAAAATGGAGAGTCACTCACATCAATGGAGGGCATTTGAACAGGAGGGCTGCAGAATGGAGTTACCAGGTGTTGCTCCACGGTCAAAGCTATGAGCCGGCAGCCAACAAGCACCTGAAGTAAAACCTAGCACCTCCTCCTGGCCACTAGCAGAACATGGACCCAAGGCTGCAGATGCCTCTGGTGCACACTTCCTACCTTTTACTCCTCTAAGACCGATCACAACAAGACCTCAGCTCTTCCTGCAGAGCCTGCTTCGAGCAGCCACAGGCACACAGGCTGGCCCCAGTGCCAGAGCCCTCTATACTCGGGAAATGGGCTACCTAAAATCATACTCCTGGTGGGTTTTCACCCCTTTTCAGACAGTGATTATGTATAATGTACTATTCTGAGATTTGATTTCTATAGCAGATGGAAAACCCCTAAAACGGGGCTGTTAATGGAAATGCCAAAAGCTGTGTCACTAACATGCACATACACTGTGACCTCCAATACCATCCAGCTAGGAAAATAAAGATTGGTTTTCCTTAAGGAGCTGAACAGGGTTTTGAAAGATTTGGGTCCAGTGTTGTTCTCGGCCCTGGCCAAAGACCCCGGTTCTTATGGCTCTAGGGGTGACCTGTCCGGGGTGAGTGTAGTGTCAGGTGTCCTCGTAAGCAAGTGTGACAAAACAGGCCCCAGATGTACTAGCTCCTAGGCAAAGGTGTCCGGGCCCTGCCTATATCCATTCAGGTCCCTTCTTTTGTCCAGACACCTTGCTCACTCCTTCCTGATTCCCTACCTCACCAAGTTCAAACCCTTAAAAACGAGAAAGATAAGCAGTGTTTACTCAATCACCTTTATGCCTCTCTCCTAACTTTTCTCAGGGGTGGGGAGCTGTGTTTTTTCAAGGCTAATAAAAGGGGCCATTGAGAATTAGAAAACATTAATGGCACTTTCTGTTCATTCAGGTTAGAGTAATTGTGGGTTTGGGGGATTTTGGCAAAGATCAACAAAGAAGTGAGGAATCTTCAAAATGTTCCCATTTGAGCCCAGATGGAAGAATCATTGGGGAATTTCTGAAGCCTCTGAGATCTGTGTCAAAGGTAAGCAAAAAAGACCTTATCCTTCCAAAGATGTCTACATCACAATGGTTTCCCCACCGCCCCTCCCCCAGGACGGTCTTGTTTTGTGTTTTTGATGAAGGGAATATCAGCGACAACCCTACATGGACGTCTTGCAGTCATGGCCACTTTTTATAACATGAGTCTCCCCTTGGTACTTACCAATTCCTGATTCCTCCTCAGTTCCCCCATTATCCAAATACTTCCCGGGCCACACATTCCACCCTGCACTCCTGCCCCTTTCCTTCCTCTTCCTTGTGTCACTCACTGCAGCTGTTTTCCTGAAACTATACCCATCGAGAGAAGGCTGTAGTTTCCTAGTAATAGCAGCACAGTCAGAGAATGCTAACGGCCACCTCTTCATCTGAGGGGCCTGGAGAATAAAGCACGCAGGAAATGGCCGCAAGGACTGTATCAGGCTTCAGATATGGATGGGAGAGGAACAATCCCCAAATCTCCCAACTGTGACACTTCGAAAGCTTGTGAGCTTTGGGGCTTCTGAAAAGTAGAGAGGGCGGTGGGAAGTCAGGATGGCCTGAGGGGAGGGTGGTCTGTGGAAAGGGACACAGGTCAGAGTCCCTGACACATTTTCTAACTCAACTGCACTAAGGCCTACGGTATTTCTTCCTATCTCCAATCTCATTTATTTAACATACACTTAATTTTTGAAAAAACAACGTATTTAATCTCTGAACAGACAAGATGTGGCTTGATGCCCCTGAAGAAGCTCATTGTGCGAAAGCTCAAGTCCCCAACAATGCAATGTGTTCGGGGCTGGATTGGCAGCCGTGTACAGTCGACGCAGAAAGGCTGCCTCTGAATGCGAGACAGAGTGTTCATATTAATTAACATCTTCATAGAAAGAAAACTCTCTCCAGGGAGTATCTGTTTGCTTATTCTTATTTACCCAGTGAGCCTAAATGGATTCTGTGCGGGAAAGGAAATGGTGCAGCCTTTGGACAGAGACTACAGGGCAAGAAGGAGAGCAGGTTGATTCTTCTGCTGTTGCATGTGGGCCTCTGTGCTAGAAAAGCTGCCACAAAGCTTTGTGCCAATTACATATAGACTATGCCATACGCGCGTCTGCAAATCTTCAACCAGAGAAACTGGGGAAGACATCTACCTCGAAAACGTTTATGACAGGTAGCCCCGCACCACCCAAAACTTTCTAACTGACGGCTGTGGTGGGTGTGCTTACTCCATCTCATTCAGTCCTCTTAACTGTCCCCAAAGAGAATGCTGGATTATTAACTGATTGACGGACTTATATACTAATTATTAGTTTAATTAATTAAAGGGTGGTTACCACAAGGCAAAACAAAATGAAAATGTTGCTAGAGCTTTCCTTATTTATATTTATTAGATACCTTTATGAACCAGCCACTGTGCTAGACAGGGCCTGGGGATATGTGGGTGAATCGGACAGATCCAGTCCCTGCCCTCGTAGACTTTCCCGCCCACCAAAGGAGACAAACTTACACAAACGACCACGTGTAAGAATCTCAAGGTTGGAAGCTCAAGTTGAGAAGGGATCAGACTCCAAGTTGAAAGTCTCCCTATGCTTGCCCCACACAACATAAACCCTCATACACTCTTCTTGAAGAATAAGGCTACAAAATAACATACTTACACATACACACACGTGCATGCACACGCACACACACTTCCCCCCATTCCAACACCCACAGTAGATATGAATGGCTGCTATTCAGGGCCGGGGCCCGGGCTGTGTCATTATAGAATAGCAGGCAAGCAGTTGCTCAAACTTCCTTGTACTGGAAGTCTGCTTCTGCCTGAGCTGATTTATTCCAAGGACCATCTGGGCACAGAGAACAATGTGCTCTCCTATCTGAATGACCGGCCGTATTAGTCATACCCTCTTAACTCGACCCCATCGTTCCCTAATCTTCACACTTTCCTTCATTCCCTTTGACGGAGACCAAGGACTGGCTCTCTTTTCTCACCTCTCCCTAGGCTGGAGAAGTTCGCCTGGGACAAAGAGCTCTGCCCTCATGCCTGTGGGTCCAGCAGTCAAACTGGGACAGGCTGTATGAAAAGGGACCTGCAGCCTCCAGCCCCACCTCCCACCACCACCCCCACTCTCCTGGCCTCGACTGTCTTGGTTGGACATGGGATAAACTCCCGACAATGCTTTCCCTGGGTTCCCAGGGCTTCCAGGCCCCAAGCTGATGGACTTGAGAATTAGCTCAAGGCAGCTCATGTCCTAGAAACTCACCCTGAACTGGCCCCACTCCACTCTGATAACCCACACAACTCCCCAACACTCCTGCATATATATTGTACAACACCCGTGCACCCTTATGCACACCTGCCTAGTTGTTGAGATAGAGCTGTGCTCTAGCTGTTGAACACAGGGAGCCTCCTGTCTATTTTATCTTTAAGCTACAGTTCCTCTAGAGCAAGAAAGAAAATGATGTACTTTTATCTCCCTCACGGCCTAGCACATACCTAGGCCCAGCATCACAAGCTGATTTTGCAGTAAGAATGAATGACCCCAGCACGGAAACCCAGCATCTTCCGGCTGGAATAAAGAGATTAAGATCCTGCTTCGCCCACCCCCAGCACTCTACCCAAAGGCTGGGGCTTTCCTGGGGCTGGGAAAGAGCCGGCACCTGCTCAGAACCCCAGGTGAGCATCATGCACCTGGCTCAGGAAATTCCTTTTTAGAATTTCACCTGGATGCTACAAGTTGCTGTTTATGTTTATGACCTGTGGGGTTTGTTGTTGGTTTGTTGTGTTTTGTTTTTAGTGCTTAACTAGAGAGAGTGAAGAAAAAAAGAGAATTCTGATCCATGGGGATATGCCAATCTTCAATCCTTCCTTCTCCACCTGATGTGCCCCTGTTGTTTTCTCCACCATTCAAATGAGGTGGGTCTCAGGGCATCTGCCGCTCTGCCCCAGACACACACACACACACACACACACACACACACACACACACACACACACACACACGCACACGGCTTCCACTTTATGGCTCGCCTCATGCCAAGACAGAATTGATGGTGATGAACGAAGAAGATGGGAAAAAACTCAAGCGGACGATTAGCTGGGTTAGGTTTATGGCAACAGGCAGCAAACTCATTCATTTCATGTTTTGCAGAATATAAAAGCGCTGAAACATTTTAATTTTAAATTCTTATCATTGAATTTACTGCTTTTCTCTCGCAATGATTTGTGTCGCTTTTTAATTTTTACAGTCTCTACAGAAGCCAGATGCTACTGCCTAAGGACAAAATAATAAAAACCTACTGCAGTCATGAGTTACAGAACAAAAAAGAAACAGGCAGTTGACAGAAGTTAATATCTCAATTTAACAGTGCTGCTTTGCTAATGATCCTTTGATATGTGTTTATTTAGAAAGGTCTGATCTTGACCTTGAAGGCAAACTCAACCACAAAGTCTTTATGAGAAAAGAAAAAGACTTTATTTATAGATTGGCTTTATGTCAATCACTCCGGCAGCTGGTCCCCAAATGCCAAGCCCCTGGAGAAGGGTATAGAGGGAGAGTGGGGCACGCGTCCCGAATGGAGTGTTCATTTAGGGATCAGTGTGGGAGAGGAAAAGTGGAAGAAGGGGTTTTAGGGAAAGTAGAATCCAAATGGGGCAGGGCCCAGTGGCCCTGTTCTCTGCTTCCTTTGGATGGAATCAGGGCGATTATATTACCTCCAGAAAAAAAGAACCAAGCAAAATAAACGTCAGGAAAGACACACATGCAAAGGGGTGGTATGCGGGGCAACAGGACTAGCATGAAGGTTTACCTGAGAGAGACTTCTAGGAAAGACCTTCCTGGTGAACCCTAAGAGAGTTCTGTGCCCTGTGCAGCAGGGCAGGTCCTTCTCTAAGAACTTTCTAGAACTGCATGAATGACTGTCCAGTTCCCCCAGAAGCAGAAGGGTAGACATGTAATCGCTTAACACTCCACCAATCCTGAGATTGCTCCTTCAGCCTGTCAGCCTCTTCTCTCCCGCCTCAGGCCAGGGCACTGGTCAAAGGAGATGCTGGGGTTTGACACTGCCCAGAGCTGGGCCAGCAGAGCTCCTCGCCCTGCAGAGTCCCTACCTGTCTGTTGGAATCCCTGCGCCAGGTCACATCTCAAGATTCCTCCAGAGAGAAGCCCTCTGATCCCGAGGCCCTGTGCTTCCATCTGCGAAGCCTGAGGAGCTGACCAAGGCTGAGGCCCATCTCTACTGAACAGGGCCCTTTTTGCCCACAGCATTCTGTCCCAGGTGAACTCGACTCTCATGGTCTCAGTGATCACTCCAAGGCTAATAACCACACATCCAGCCCAGACGTCTCTTCTCAGCCTCAAATCCATAAATCCAAGTTCCTCAGGATCTTCTGCAGGCACCTCATACTCAACATGTCCAAACCTGAGACCCCCATCTTCTGCTCCCCTTCCTGGATCTTTATCTTGGTTGTTAGCACTAACATCCATCTGTCACCTAAGCTTGACATCTGGGTGTCATCCCGGAAGCCCCTTGTCCTCCTCCCCCGCACATCCCAATCCAGCTAATTTTTTATTATCTAAGTGCTTCCCATACATATCCTTTCCTCCTCAGTCCAGAAAGGCACTGCCTCATCCAAGCCACCAACATCCTCACCAAGAAGCTCTTAAACACAGCTCAGCTCCCTCAGATCTGACCTGCACACAAATTGATCTGATCTCGAAAC